TTCTACCGGTGCTATCTATTGCTATTCTTACGGAGTGAGTCGTGGCAACTGGATCCACCGCACTTCGGTTCTCGGATCACAGGTGATCAACTGAACTGAACTGATTGGCTTGTTGATGAACTGACCCGAAGGGTATCTGCAACATGACTTGCAATGAGGACATGGAACGGATTCGTCACAATGTCAGTTCGGTACTACAATTAGCAAAGACTTCCAGAGCTAACAAGCAGAAGGTTCCATTGCCTGTCACGTAAAACTCAGCTTCACACGACAGTGAACGGTTAGGGTAGATCGCTGGACTGTGTACATATGACAGATTCGCGTGGGCTCCTTTCAACGGACTAAATTCTTGCCTTACACTTCTTTCAACGGTACAGCACGCATTCACTTCGTAAAACATATAAAGAAAGGCTTGATTTGGTTTAAAACAACTGCTTTTGACGTTTGGTGATGGCGGCCGCGTGGGAGGGGCTTTACTTACACCGTCTTCTCTTCATATAACAGGCAACGGTTTGCGATCCTAAGGCGCTTGAGGAGTATATGATTCTTGGCATTATGAACCTTACATTAAGGTTCCTTTCACTTCGTTTTACACTCCTTAATGGTAGAGTAAGCCTTTTCAAATTGCCCATCGTATTGTAGCAAATCTCTACTCAAAGTACATGCATGCTGCTGTTGTTATTAGTGTAGGTTAGAAGGTAGCGGATGATGAGGCAACAGTCGGGTGGAGTACATACCACTAAAATCCTGAATGTACGATGCAATTCCCTCAGGCCCCACTAATTGTATCTGTCTGACTTTGCCTTATCATACTGTCCAAGCTTGGTTTACTTGAGTTACGCTGCCCGCGTTACTCATACACGAACGATAAGTGGAATTTGTGTTTCGCTTGCGTTGGTCACATGTGAGACCCGTGTAGACACATTCCGCATCACCACGTGACGACTTGGTATGCAATAGTTACCATTCCATTATTCAAGCGTATCACATCCGTCGAATCAGTATGCTTTTTATGACTGCATTAACGAGAAGCGAGCGTATGATGGAGGTAATTTTTACTTTGAAGTTCGCAAATGCACGGTACTGAAAAAGTGTCTACACATGACTAGTCACCAACACTGAATACCACCCCCATTTTTAGTGCTAATGTGGGCGTTGAGAAACTTTGTGAAGCATGTACACATTCGCACTTAATAGCTTGATGACGTTGCACTCTTACAGCAAACCTTAATGGACTGACCAAGCTGCTTTAAATAGTAACAGCTAGACTGTAATACTACGCAGCCCCTTTTGTGCCATAGGAGGAGAATATGCGGGTCGCCTGACAGTACCCTAAAACTACACCGTCAGGAGATTCATCGGTATTATTAGGGTAATTGTATTATCTGAAATACCATTTTTATTGGTGATTGCTGTACGATGAAAAACGGACTAATGATGGCTAACGTACCGACACCAAATTCTCTTACCAAACAAGGTTACTGGTAAGAGTCGGTCATTGATAAATAGTTTAGCATATCGTGGCACACTGATTAAATTTAGACATGCCTGCCGACTAGAACAGCATACAGGACGTGAATGGTAATGTCCCCATCGTTGTACCTGTTGTATCAGAAAAACGTTGATGTAACGCAAGTATATTGTATGAGGCATGTAGGACGTACAGCTGCCCAGAACGAAACAAGGCACGTGCCTGTATTCGGTTGCCGGTATCCAACTGTTTACATCGAACCCAGTTTGGTTGGAATTGCTTTTCCCCAATCACATTTTTCACAATTTCCTCGCCTTATATCTCACTCCCCACCGTAATTATCCGGGCGACGCGATTCATAAAAACTGCATCCATCGCATTTCGGTGCCCCAATCACAAGTGTTTACCTGAACTGAAGGCGTTTCCCTCATCAATATGACTGCCAACAGTAGTACATCCGTATATATAACTGACGCTGTGATGACATGAAGCCATAGTGACCTCATTAATGGGGAACGAGATGAGCAAAAGCAAAGCACTCAGGATCAGTGCAGTTGTGTAGGGCACACAATGCACGGTCACAAACAGATGACAACCATCCTAGGACTGGGTGCTATAGGGGAGACATTTTGCATGAGGCCTTCACTGCTGTGCGTCATAGCCTACATTGCACACAGATAACAGAGCATAATACACCTTTTAACAGACAGTTCAACTGCGCGATGACTTCAGACATGCCACTTATACCATTTCGCAAGTCATGTTCTCTAGGGTCTCAAATCAAACACAAGATGGGTAGCATGTGCTACAGCTCGAAAAAGGGATCGAGGCCTGCTGTCTCCACCTGATGAGATGAAATTACATCGAAACGCGTCGTGGTTGTGCAGTGTTTTCTGGTGGGCAACACCAAATTTCCATCTACTTTGAATCCGGTCCCAGTGATCGCAGTGACTAAGGTTCATTTCAATGTGAATCACTGTCCATTACATTGAGGTTGCGTGTCGCAATCCAATCACACAACGTGTAGTCCAAACTTGACCCTCTGAAACAGCATCCAGTTTAGTCGTTAGCGCTCATTGTCAATGATTGCCCACCTTAGACTTAATGCCATCCCAGATAATGCAAACGAAAAAGTTTGACTGGGCGCACAAAGCACGTGCTCGAGCCCGATCGGGACAAACACATTTTCTAGGGTAACCATGGTTATTGGCCTGAAGGTGCCTAAGATTTGCAGGCCGACGCTGTCAAAACCGCATGGATTTGGAACAAAAGGGAACTCACCATGGCCAGCCACTGTGGAATTGCGTTCTAGCAGCATGTACATCGTATACAGCCCATTTTTCACAACGAGTGCCCTAACTTCGTTAGTACCACTCCAATCATAGTTGTTGTTGTTGTTGTTATTGTTGTTGTTGTTGGTGGTGGTTGTTGTTGTTGTTGTTGTTGTTAGTGGTTTTGTGGTCATCAGTAATGAAACGGTCGCATGACTACCGCAATAGCCTTTTATCCTTTGAATTTGTTAAAGATGCAGCTTTTGCTACCTAACTGTGCACTACAACGAAACTAGTACATTGGAAAGGGAATATCAGCTAGCCGTTCCACTTCAAGTGCTTACTTCATATCGACATTGTATCCACTAATCTATTGCAACTCAAGGAATCGCCCTAGGTTCCAGTCCAGTGACTATATGGAAAATAGTATATTTTCACGTATTGTGGATGTTTTTGCTTTATAACACTAGCAAGAGTTGTGCTTTCACGTGTTCTCAAACGCTTGCTGCAGCAGTCGATGTTTTCTGGCTATGCAATTCGTATGATAATTTATGCACTGTGCTAACCCCGGAGGGATTGTCTTACAATGTAGCAACCACCTTGTACTACTTATTTCTTGGTGGTTAGGGGTTCCCATGCACTCCACAAAATACGCAGGGAAACACATATTGCGAAATCCGCTCATAAGGAGTCATGCGACATAATTTTAATGCGGGAAAAATATACCCTGGGGCATCAGTATTGTCTGTTACATTGACGTAGGCCTCTGTATTTTGGCCATAACAACTTATCTGTGGTGAATGCTCGAGAAATAACTGTGCTTTGGGAGCAAGCTCTGATGTCGCAAATTCCAGTTTTAACTCCAAAAGTCACCTAGGAGAGAGTGCAAACGAAGACAAAACAACCACTGAAAGCACCGTTAATGGCAAGTACTAATTAGAATTTTTCTACTAACCCTACACAGTTCGTGGCTGAAATGACTAATAGTTATCGCAAAATGAATTGTCAGTCATAGTTTGCTGAAACACGGAGCGCTGCAGACTTTTGCGAACAATGCCTAACTCTGGGAACAAGTGTCGCTCGTAAAGCCCACGGATTCACTGACGAGGAGATGTACTTGCCTCGTCTCTCACCTCGAACTGTACTTATCTGACGGGTTCGAACTTGAAACCAATAAATCGTGGACTGTAAAGCTGAAAGTGAGCAACAAAACAAAAACTATCCACCAAACAAGAACAAATGTTGTCCAGCACATAACACTTCTTACCTTTCGTTTCTATCCGCCAAGTGACGTTCGGTGTGCCTATGGCATGTTCCGTTTCACCTAACGTGGTTATTGTCAACCAGTCTTAAGTACTCCTAGGTCATATGCCACGAACTGTATGGGCCGGAGGAATACCATGAAATTAGTGCGACTTAAATCGAACCAAACTCATTGAGGCTGCAGACTGCATAAGTTTGTGTTGAACATACAGCACAGCGAACTGACGTCGTGTGAGGTCGAATGGACCCAGAACGATAGCATGGGAGGAAAACGAGAACTGGCCAATGGAAAGCTTGCCCCATGGAATTGCGTCTACAGTGTACGCACGGTATACATGTCCATGTTGTTAATGGGTAACAGAGTTTGACCACTATCCATGTTACGTTTTAACTCAGACAGATGTGCGACAACTATTCGATATTTTGCGCTTATGGAAATTTAAGGCCTAGTAAAACGGTCATAACCGGCAGGTATTTGCATCGGCACGTCAGCACATGCCTAAACAAATGCCGTAGTCCATCCCCTGCGTCATCTTTCGGTAGTCACAGACAAGGGATCCGCCACCTGCCTACATAGTAAGGAACCAGTACAGAGAATAACAGGCTGTGTTTTCTGGCGGGCAAAACCCAATTTTCTAATGCTTCATCAGCTACGGGCCTAGTGATCGAATGGCCAACATTCACTTCATCGGCAATCGCGGTCCACTTTGAGATTGCAGGTCACAATCCTTTCACACGGCGTGTATTTCAAATTGACCCTCCAACACAGTGTGTTGTTCGACCACGGAATTCCCTTCGATAGAGTGTGAGCTCTGCGAACGTCCTTCACCAAAAGTACCGCGGAACTTTGTAGTGTAGTTTGAATGTGCATGTTGTCCTCTTATTTTTGTTTATCCATAAACTATCATTGTAATCTCGGGTGTAACAGTGATACTCAATTGCATGAGGCACTTTACATGAAGCACTTATCCAATCATCTCGTGCGTTTTTCCCAGACTACTGGATCACTCACGGCAATGGCACTTTGAGCCAGCTGGAACACCTAATATCAAAAGGTAAGTTAAAGGGAATTTTCACAATTATCGTGAAAATATAATATCAGTGTTGTGTTCATTGATGCATTGATGAAATGCAGCCAAGTCTTATTGTCTGGTAACAGAGGTTTGCCGGTGGGTGTACTGAACCCAGTTTACGGATTAGTTAGACATCTGATTTTTATGGATAAAGCCGTGATAATAGTTCATTTAGTTCTTCTGTCATACAAGCTGAGGCATATTTGGTACTTTGAAGTTACGCGTTAGTTAACTCACATCAAATACACTTCGAACTGCTTAGGCGACTCGAAATCGAATCCTTAATTTACTGTCGACGGAAGAGTGATGTCTAACGTAACTAAACACACATATCAAATTCACTGACCACAATCAAGTTTGCATGGGAAGTGCATTTCAGAGAAAGCTGCCTTGGGAGCAACACAATCGTTTACAGACTAGATGACATCGATTGTTTTGTCAACTAACGTTTGCAACTAAGTTTGGCGGCAGGGACTGCGCAAACCCCCTCACATTGCACACGAATGGGTCCAGCGACACAGGCATGGAATTCAATTCAAGCATCAACATAAAGACATGAACATTGTTACTGGAGTTTCCATTAGGCTATTTACACCAATACACTATTAAAATTTTGCATCAAATGAGCAAACGGCAAATGAGCTAATGGCAGCTATAATTCTCAATAAAATACTTCATACTCGGTCTTGTCCCCTAAAACATTAGGCTTAAAATTCATTACATTATCACTGTTGGTTGTCTTCTGGATTCCACACTGGCTCCAGCCTTACCAACGCGAAGTTATGTGTTCACCTCCGTAGTTTAAGTGAATGATTGCCTTTAAAAAGCTACAAGCTTGTTTTTGGTTTTCCAAGTGTTTCGCGTAGCGAGCGTTTGTCTCCCACTTTGAGGATTAGGTGCAGATTCTGAGATACCAGGAGTACTAAATACTGTAATTACGAAGCAGGAAGGTATACATCCGTGTTGATCCATTGAACCGTGTTGGGGCACACACACAGTAAACAAAGTTATGAGTATTATTCGAAGGGGTACCATGCTCGCGACTTGCTAGTGAGCGAATAGCCCACAACAAGTGATTTATTTGCCGTCATTCACGGAACCAGTACGTTTTCAGAATTCTGTTTGGAGAAATATCTTTAGCTGGTATTTCAAGCTAAGCCAACTAGAGAAGATTGTTTTAAAATGTTCGCTAGGTAAACACTTGGAATAACGCATGACCGCTATTTCATAATTCCTTAAGACGTGGCCATTGCAGACATGATACCTGTTTCCTGTTATAGAAAACTAGACAAAAACAATAGCAGGTGCTTTTATGGCAGGGAGCTGCATTAATCGCATTGAAGATTGTAATACTAGCGTCGCGAATAAATGCAGTTGCGCTGCCCATCCCATGAGGTGTTCGATACTCTCAACGCCTCTTGGAAATCATAGTCTTTTTTCGTGATGTATACTACTTTTACACAGTTGGAGACTTAGCGAGTTAAATCGTGTCTTCAGGGTCAATTTTTGCGCTGCGCGGCAATTCGAAACATGATGATGCTTCAGGGTTTGGAGTTATTCCGATCTGGTTAGTTGAAATAATATATAGTGCTACCTACTTTATACCAAGTGTGACTACAACGCTGACTTTGTGAATGACCACATATCCTCAAGTTTCTGCAATCCCTTTGTGCAATTCTGACGATAATATTTATGTCAGCATTGCTGTTAAGTCAATGGTTACTGTTATCAATGGACTAAATGTGAAAACACCGTTTCTTACGAGCTGCAATGTTGGACAAGGTCCAGAAATAAAATTGATGCTTTGAACGCTTGGAAACTATTTTATCCTCTCAGAACATTACACGATGAGACAATGCATACATATGTTAAAGCGATTCATTCAATGTCGCTTACGAAAGCAAAAGTTGACTAGCAGTCACAGAATTAGCACAAGTTAAGACAGTGATTCACACAAAACAATTAGAGCTGTGTGTGTGAATTGCGTCCGTCTGAGGCGTTCCTGCTAACAGCACACATAGGTTTAGTGAAGTTGCCAATTCCAAGTAGGTATCACTACTTGCAAGAGATTTGTCATCAAACATTATGTACCTGAATTGATGCGTACAACATTCAGACAGATAAGATCGACAAGTAAAGCAAGCTTTCAGTCAGCGAAGTGAACGCATATCGCGACTCAGCTTGATTCTGGCTTTAGTAGAGTTCTCTCCATTTAGCTCAATTTGGGTCTTGTTCGGGTAGCCTTTACCTTTCATGGTTTTTCTTTGTAATCGAGAATTCTCTAACCACGATCGTCTCGTTTGCATCGAGCAATATTCTACCACAGAAACGATACTTTCACGGGATTTTACCAACCCATTTTTAAGTACTCGCATCACTATCATGCAAGTGAGTTTTTCCCATAGGTCACCGAAATAATGCAACTTGAGAATCGCACAGTTTGGCATTTTCATGAACTTGGAAGCATCACTGGCTCGGTAGAAACAGTGCATGGGCGATACCACTGCTCATGCAGTGCATTTAATCAGTCATAATTGTCAGCATGTCGTATCCTAGAGAAACGTGACCCCACTTTGCTTGTGATCCACGAACAATGTTTGTGCATGAGTTATTATATGCATCATGATGAAATATGTTTGAACATTTTTCCCTTGTGGTTTAGCTAAGTACACCGGTTTTGAGTCCTAATCCTTAGACCGATAAAGGTATAAGGTAAATCTGCAGATGGCGTTTTCATTTTAGTCTTTGTTAATTAGCCACTCACTCGGCATATTCTCAGTCGACCGAATAACGGACGGCTGACACTCTAACCGTTCTAAAACAGTACAATGAGAAGCGTCACAAAACTACAAGCAGCGTAGGCTGAGAGGCTAGTTAATTGTGTAGTACTTCAGTTTCAGAGTCGAAAACCATTATCTATACTCCAAACACAAAGGATGGAAGAATCGAATTTTGGGCACAGATTCCGAAAGCCAAGTGTCCGGTCCAATGCGTCGCATATGCACTGCTTTAGTATCGCAAAAATTGAGATTCTGTATCCATTCGAGCCGATGGTCTCCCAACGCATTGTTGCAACAATGGTTATGGATGAGCTAGGAATGATCAGGCTCTTGTACATCGTTTTGTCTTCTTATACAAATTCATTTGGCTCTGTCCTTCAAGCCGACACAAACAGACTTTTCGTCTCTGCCGTTCGTGCTTTTACACTTTCTCTCCCTAACTTGATTCCATTGAAACTGCAAGGTTGGGGGTTGTTTTTAAAATTGTTTTGATAACGGTTCGATCATTTTCCAATGTGCCGGCCACTGCATTTGATGAGAGGTAACTATCTTCTTTGTATAGTTAACCTTTTGAATAGCTATGCTTAGTTATTCGTGTGGACAAACTGGCTGCTCTTTCGGAATTTAATTTCGCAAACCACAGGTACTCTGCATGTTCAGACGTCGCACCAAGCGTCTGAAGCTCTTTGATTTTCTAAATCATTTCGATTCACTAAAAGTTCTTGTTTTTTGGTGTTTAATGGAACATTTAGCTTGGGGCTTTATAACTGCGCACTGTTACAAGTACTATATAGTTACAATGCAAAAAGTGGTGGAATATTCTTCCGCATCGAGAGATGTAGCTCTCCATATATAACAGTGCATTTGACCGAAGTAGCAGGGCAACTGAAAATAATAAATAAATCATTTGACGAAGACACGACTGCATACGCATGCTGAATGCTCATAGCTGTAGACTTGTGCACATTCGTGTTAGGGTTCTGAGCAACTCCCGAGGTATGAGCGTCAGTGTGAATTGCGGCTCAATAAGTGAGGTTGGGCCAACTTCAATCACAAGCAGTTATCTTGTTACAGGACACTCCTGCGTTCAGAGGTGGGTTCTATTAATCAAGCATTTCAATACTTATTATAAATTAGTAAAATCTTTCCAGGTACCGTGTATAGGGCATCTGAGTAGCTTAAAACGCAAACCAGACGATTAAGCACAACAATTTACAATCAACGATAACTGCTGAAAGGATGTAGCATATCGTTAACTATGTAAAGAACAGGAATGAAACTGGCTTATTTATATTGCCACATCTTATGAACTAGAAACAGAAGCAACGCTTGCACAAATGCATGCAATTTGGTGTTGGTGCAAATATTCACTTTTTGCGACCTGATCGGGAAGATAACCAGGGAACCCCGGCAGCATAAGTTAGTATGCATGCATCGTGGATTTTCGGTGAAAGAACATATGCTACACAAGTGTTAAGGCTTTATGATTCAAAGAAAAGTAAACGGTATACTTGAATAAGAATCCGTAGAGCTACATTGTGGCCACCGCAGTTGGATTGCATGTGTGAAGGCAAGTGGGCAGAAGGGTCGCAGTTTGGAAAAGGTCAGAGTTCTGTTAGAACCAGTGTACCACGAGCAGCTATTAGAGAAAGGCGCCGTTGACAACCGCTGAGGAAGGCCTACATAACGTCTAAGATGGGAGGCAGATCAAGGTGAATGAAGCGTGAATATAAAATGTTGGACATAAGTTCAACAAGTAAGGGGGCTGGGTAACCCTGGTTGATTGTTCAGCTATTGATTGGTTCGCCTTCAAGCATGGAAAACTAGTCAACAGTCAGATGGAACCATGGAACATTGATGTATTACGGGTAAAAAAAGCAATGCTTAACAAGTCCCGTGAGATAGCAATTATTGCGGAAAGTAAGTTGCATGGTAAAGTGAAAAGCGTTTTGGTGGACTCACCATAGACTTATGTAGAATAGCGAAGGTATTCGCGTATTAAACGTATACATCCATAAATCCACTAGTTGGGAGTTTGGTAAGACACCGTTTGATTGCGTTTTGTAGCCCCTGGCTAACAAGTCATAAAATGAAATGCAAATGAGACAACGTATCGTTCTATCGGCATCACTGGATTCTATATTTGGTCTCTATCAAGAAAGACGATTATAGTACCATAGTTCAGAAATTTATAGTTGACTT